GTATGGTTGTACTCAACGGCACATCGGCACGGCTAAGCGATGTGGATCGCGGGCGGCAACGGCTTCGGATCCCGGCAGCACGACATCGGGTATGCTCGGAAAGTGCCATGTTGATCTGACGGCTATGCCCTCCTGATCTAGCGATGGTGATCTGCCTTTCGGGCTCTAGTTCGGCCATGTCCGTCCTTGGGCTGATGGGCCTGGGTAGAGTTCTCTCTGGAGAGGTGCTCCATTGTTCATGTCTGCCGCCGCCGCGGCGAATTATGGTGGTAACCGAAATGTCTTCGTCAGGATTTCTCGCTGTAGATCCGATGGTTGACTTCAGCAGTGAGATGCAAACTATAGATGATGATTTGACGCAGAGGAATGGTTGTGCAGCAGCGACGACAATCGCATGTAGCTGCTGGGATTGCAGATAAGTGGTGGCGACAACACATAAGTGGCATCGATGGTGCTAGTACTCCAGTACTTGGTCTTGAGCCCCAGGATGAATGCCTAGGTCATACCCGAGTTGGTTTTACCTAGCAATGACGATGTTTTTACATTGTTACCTTGTTGAAGACATTGCTCGGATATGCTTGGACTGGGTTTTCAAGGTGAAAACCTAGATTCTGGATGAATCCGGTGACGGTGGCGCTTGAGCATCGCTCCTTCATGAAGGCGTTGCTGTTGAACAACCGCGTCGTCCATGTGGTGTCATGAGATGGTTGGTGCGAATATGGTCATTGTTGTAGTTTGCCGATCGCGGATCTGATCATTTTTTCTCTCTCGCCTACACATAGCTTTGGTCTTGTATGACTTTGCTATTTTTATGGTGTGTTTTTGTATGCGTGTGTTAATATTGACTGTGTGCATCCTAGGGTGTGTGCTTATTGTGCTTTGTATCCTCGTGATGCTCCATTTTGAGCCAATAAAATACACCCTTTGTCGAAAAAATCACATGATCAACTAACATCAGAGAAAGCATCGTAAAGCGGAGTACGGGAAAGAATCACAATGGTCGAGCGGCGGCATCCACTGGAGAGCCCTGAACTCGAGCAGTGTCAGGACCCTGCTGCTCTGCACTACTTAACTAAAGAAATAGTCAGTGACTCTGAAGAAATCAACAGCGAGACTGAATCGGTATTCACTTGGGAAATGGATAGCCGTGATGAAGCGAGCGGGCAATCAACGGCTACACTGTCCTCCTGTTCACAGTCACGCCGTTGCCGCCACACTCTGGAAGGCTACAGTAACAGAACGGTCGACGACGGCGACACCACCAACTCCGCCAGCTATTAAGCTCCTCCTCCACGCTTCTGGAGTTATCTTTTCCCCCTTTCTACAAGCTGTAATATCTAGCGTAGCTCTAGAACCCTAGACTACTTGTAGAAATCCTGGATTTGATCCTCGATCTGTACCCTGTAACTGTGATTCTTCCGCTAAAATTATCAAATCGGGGCTAGTTCAAGTACTGTGAATTGTCCTTGTAATTCTGCTCCTGTCATTTGGTATCATGAGCCAGTGAATCCTCGGAGGTGAATCGGATCTGACCATAATTTGGGGTTGGGATCTCTCATAAAATTCCCCAATTCAGTGTCAGGTCCCGGCGGCGGTGCAGACCACCAGATCGGAGGCGGTCTGGAGTAGGCATCATTCGACTGCAAATTGGGGAGAAACTCGGTTGTGGTCGGAACAATTCCACCGTGGTAAAATCCCTTAGCGTATCCCTGGTTCGCGCAGCATCGGAGGCGAGCACGGCATGAAGTTTTTGTGGTGGTAGTGAGAGGTCACCGACAACGGTTTCAGACCAGTGCTACTGTAAAATTCCGGAGCCGTGATGACCGCCATGCCTACTCGGACGAAGCATATGGATGAGATCTCCGACGAGCTCGAGGCTCTACAGACCGATCTCTCGGCGCTTGGGTTGAAACAGGGCAAGATGCAAGACCAAATCGACCAAGTCAACACACGTTTGTAGACAATTGAGTCCCTGGAAAAGCAATTGGGCAAGGTCGAACTCCTGGTCGAGAACAACTCGAAGGTGCAGCAAGAATTTTTTTCCATCTTGCGAGATATGAGATCAGGAAATCCCAACCCTACCTCCCCTGGTTCTCCAGGATCTGTTCCAGTGGTGCTGCAACCAGATCCTTCCAAACAGCTTCAACAAGATCAGGGGGCACAAGCAACTAATCTTCAAGGGAAAACAATTGTTACACCACCTATGCAACAAAAAGACCTGCAGAACATCCCTCCTAACCGACTAGTAAACCAACCAACACAACTTCCAATCAACAATTCCATGCAGTACCAAACTGACAGAGCAACACAGTTTATGAAAAGCATTTCCAAGGGCCCTAAGCTGGATTTTCCTACCTTCAATGGAGACAATCCTCTCGGCTGGATTCGACATGTTAACAAGTATTTCTAGCTTGCTCAAACTCTTGATGAATGCAAGGTGGATCTGGCCCTAACTTACATTATTGGGAGAGCTGACAACTGGGTTCGAAGTGCTCAAATGGATAACCACAAATTGCCCTGGCCAGATTTTTGTAGAGCATTATGCGACAGATTTGCTGATTCTAGCATCTATGAAATTTTAGAGAAATTCCACAACCTGAAACAGAATACACTCTCTGTGGCTGCTTATACTAATAAGTTTGAGGAGATTATGGCAATACTCAGAGATGAACATCCATATCTGCAAGAGAACTACTACATAGTGAGTTTTGTCAGTGGCTTAAAACCAAGCATTAGGTGCAACTTAAGACCACAAAGACCCACCACTCTTAACCAAGCATACTGGTTAGCAAGGGATTATGAAAGTGGGTTACAAGCAAAATATCAATCATATATTAACCACCAAGACAAACAGTTGCAATTTCATGCTAGGCATCAGAAAACTAGTGTGCCTCCTGCCCTTAATTTGCAACTCCCTCCAGCAGCACCAGCTATCAAAAAACCTGGTATTTGTTGGAGATGCAATGGACCATGGGTCCCTGGACACAAATGCAAACAAGCACCAACACTTCATGTCATTACTGGAGACAGTAGTACTGAGGAAATATCACCTGAAGAAGAAGCCCAACTAGCAGTTTTGGCTGCTGAAGGTCAACTTTCTAAAGATCCTTCTGGGTGAATGCACATATTTGCACAAGCAGTTTCAGGCAACACATCTGAGTCAACTTTAGCAGTGCACATTACAGCAGGGGGAAGAAAAGGAGTAGCTCTGGTTGATACTGGGAGCACCAACACATTTATTGACCTGAAGTTTGCACTCAAATCTGCTTGTCCACTGATCAACAACCCAACTCAAACAGTAAAAGTAGCTAGTGGTGTGTGACACCCCGAGACCGTTGCGCCAGGTGTCTTCCAGTTATTCACCGTCGTTACCATGTCATTCATTTGCGTGTTGCATCTTGTCATGTCATCATGTGCATTGCATCATCATGTTTTCAAAACTTGCATCCGCCCGGGTTCCTCCAGTTCTCTCCGTTGTCCGTTCTGAGCCCAACCACACTTGCACGCATCCGCGACACGTCCGCAATATTATTTTATAAGTGGCCAGAAAATGTTCTCGGAATGGGATGAAAGTTGGTGTGTGGTCTTATTATAGTGTAGATAGACCGCCTGTCAAGTTTCATCACATCCGGAGTTCGTTTGATAGCCCAACCAGATAACTATAGCGGCAGTATAGCCGGTCTATCGTCGGACGTTTTCGGTCTCCGGAAACAGTTGCCGGGTCTCTCTCTTCTCTTCTCTCAGCCCAAAGCTTTCTGCATAGTCCGCTATCAACCGCCAGGCCCGAGACCCCTCCTTGCACAGTGCATCGACCCCCTCACGTGCGCGTCCGAAAGCTGCCCCGAACCCGACCTGGACAGTTGCCACCGTTGGACTCAGATCATCCCCAAACATCTACAAAACGTCTCCATTTTCTTATTTGGGCTCCCTAGCTATTTTATCCGCGGTCGTCCGATTGCGATCGTAGGGTCGAGTTAGCCCCTAACCTAATACGTGATGTATATTTTTAGTCTACCCCTAGTCCATTTGGATGCTGCCCTAGCCAGCCCTACCAAATCGTGGGCGAGCCAAAACTTTGGCGCAGCATCCAGCCGCCCACGCCCTGGCCAAGAGTTGGCAACAAAATGAACTGGCGATGCCCGTGCAGTCAGGGCGTGCCAAATATTTGGTCATCATCCAAACGAGTACCCAGCACCTGGTCAACGTCCAATGTTTTGGCATGGCGGCTGTTGGCTGGAATCCAAACAGACCCTAACCCTTTTTCCTAGGGATCCTCCTAGCCGCCGCCACCCCACTGCCTCTTCTTTATTTCAGTGCCCGACCAACCACCGCGCTCCGTTCCTCGATCCCCTCGCTTCTGCGCTCCCGGACGCGTCCAGCGCCCGCCGCTCCTCGCAACAGCGCGCCCACAGGGGCAGCATCGCCGGCCGCCCTTCCCCATCTTGATCGAGCCGGACTCCCTCGCCCTCCCCTGCTGTCCTTTCTTCTCCTACCCTCTTTCTCCTTTCCCTAAGCTCTCTCTCTCTTGCCCTTTGGACAGGAGCCCCGACGCCAAGGACTTGCCGCGTCGGCGCCTCAAGCCGCCACAGTTTGCTTCGGATCCGGCCGACCTCCGTCAGGTCGCCCGTTCCTGGCCGGATCCCGCCGTCCCAGACCTCCCCTGCACAGTGCGCGCCCGCGCGACCCCGTCGCCGGCAACCCGTCTCCAGCCGCCGCGGATCCGCCCCTTCCTCCACCCGTTTTTCCCCGTCCCCGGCGCCGACGTGGAGCCGCGCCAAGATGCCGCCGCTGCTCTGCTTCCTAACAAGCAGAGGATGAGGCGCCCGCTCGCCCATGCCTCGCGTTGGCCGTGCCTTCACCTAGTCTAGCGCCCAGGTCAGCACCTCCCTCCGTCCCTTGCACTGCCGCGTCGCCGGAGTAGGAGCTCCATCCGCCATGCCTGCCGCCTCGTCTCTGCTTCGATCAGACAAACGAACCTGTCGCCGCCCGCTTCGTCAAGTTCAGGACGCGAGCACTGCTTGCCTTGACCGCGCCCTGCACCACCATTGTTGCTCTTCCCCAAGCCCCTCGACCAGCCACTGCCTCCCCTGCGTCCTCTGCATCGCGCTGCCCCTATCTTCCCTGCTCCCAGTCATACGCCAAGCTGCAGCTGCGCTGCTGCATCCTCTGCTTCGACTTTGCGCGATGAGGAAGACCCAGCGACAAGTCCTGCTTCGCGTTGACTGCGCCCCTTCCACCTCCTCGTTTCGATCCAGCCAGCCCAGGAGGCCCAGCGCCAGGCCTCCTCTATATTCTCTTGAACGGGCCAAGCCCATGGTGAGCGCCCCAGCGCCCTGGGCCAGATCTCAGATTCAGCCCAGTATAGTTTTTTTCCTGCTGCTGCATTTTTAATTTTTTTCCTGAGACTGCAGATTTGCAGAAAAGACCTTCATCTTCATGCATTTAATAACTCACAAACTGTGCATCGGATTAAAAAGATCTATATATGTAAAATACTTAAAATTGTGTCTAGTTTCATAATATGCTACTTTCATCCATGTTTACCATGTTTAAAATGTTGTTTGTTTAAATTTGCTCAATTGCCATGTTAAAATGATTTAATTCATAACTAAATAACCGAAACTCGGATTTTAACAAACTTTATATGTAAATGGGGTAGAAAAATGCCTAGTTTAACATGGTGGTTTTACTTTGCATGTTTAATAACTCTAAAATTGTGTTTAGGGCAGAACAGTACCAAATCCATATTTTGCACATGAGGATTTTTCTAGACTTGTTGTTTTGTTGTTCCGGCCTCATTAAACTTCCCTAAATAGGTAATTTATTTATGCTTCATCTCTTGCCATGTTAATCAACATATAATATTGTTGGGGTACATAACCGAGAGAGAACTAAATAAGACATGTGGTGTTTCATCATAATGCAACTCGTTGCATATTGAGCTCCACTTAATTTGTAGGATTGCTAGTGCACTTTGCCATGCCATGCCCTCTTTAAACCGGACATGCATCATACTTGGTTGTGCATCTTGCCATGTTTATGTGGTGGTTGTTTACTATGTTGTTTGCTTCTTTCCGGTATGCTTCTTCGGGTTGGTACCGATATCGTCGCGTTTGTGAGGACCCGTTCGACTACGCCCGTTTGTCTTCTTCATGGACTCGTTCTTCTTCCTTGCAGGATTTCAGGCAAGATGACCATACCCTCGAAATCACTTCTATCTTTGCTTGCTAGTTGCTCGCTCTTTTGCTATGCCTATGCTACGATGCCTACCACTTGCTTATCATGCCTCCCAAATTGCCATGTCAAACCCCTAACCCACCTTGTCCTAGCAAACCGTTGTTTGGCTATGTTACCGCTTTGCTCAGCCCCTATTATAGCGTTGTTAGTTGCAGGTGAAGATTGAAGTTTGTTCCTTGTTGCAACATGGAGATGTTGTTCCTTATTGGAACATGTTTACTTGTTGGGATATCACAATATATCTTATTTAATTAATGCATCTATATACTTGGTAAAGGGTGGAAGGCTCGACCTTTTGCCTAGTGTTTTGTTCCACTCTTGCCGCCCTAGTTTCCGTCATATCAGTGTTATGTTCCTGGATTTTGCGTTCCTTACGCGGTTGGGTGATAATGGGAACCCCTTGACAGTTCGCCTTGAATAAAACTCTTCCAGCAATGCCCAACTTTGGTTTAACCATTCGCCACCTAGCCTATTTTTCCCTTGGGTTCCGCGGACTCAAGGGTCATCTTTATTTAAACCCCCCTGGGCCAGTGCTCCTCTGAGTGTTGGTCCGACCGAGGAGACTGCGGGGCCACCTCGGGGCAACTTGAGGTTTGGTTTTACTCGTAGGATGTCTCATCTGAGTGTGCCCTGAGAATGAGATATGTGCAGCTCCTATCGGGATTTGTCGGCACATTTGCGCGGTGTTGCTGGATTTGTTTTACGTTGTCGAAGTTGTCTTGTAGAACCGGGATGCCGAGTCTGATCGGAATGTCTCGGGAGAAGGTTTATCCTTCTTTGACCGTGAGAGCTTGTGGTGGGATAAGTTGGGACTCCCCTGCAGGGATTGAACTTTCGAAAGTCGTGCCCGCGGTTATGGGCAGATGGGAATTTGTTAACGTCCGGTTGTAGAAAACCTGAAGTAGATCTTAATTAAAATACATCAACCGCGTGTGTAACCGTGATGGTCTCTTTCCGGCGGAGTCCGGGAAGTGAACACGGTGTTGGAGTTATGCTTGACGTAGGTTGTTCTAGGATCACTTCTTGATCATAGTTTTCTCGATCGTGCTTTGCCTTCTCTTCTCGCTCTCATTTGCGTATGTTAGCCACCATATATACTAGTCGCTTGCTGCAGCTCCACCTCATACCTTTTACCTTACCCATAAGCTTAAATAGTCTTGATCGCGAGGGTGTGAGATTGCCGAGTCCCCGTGACTCACAGATACTTCCAAAACCAGCTTGCAGGTGCCGTTGAACCATGCAGATGACGCAACCAAGCTCAAGGAGGAGCTCGATGAAGATCTTGTCCTTTGTGTTGTTTTGTTCTAGCTGATCAGCAGTGGAGCCCAGTTGGGGTCGATCGGGGACCTTGTCGCATTTGGGGTTCTTCTTTTATTTTGGTTCCGTAGTTGGACCTTGATTGTATTTGGATGATGTAATGCTTTATTCATGTATTGTGTGAAGTGGCAATTGTAAGCCAACTATGTATTCTTTTCCCTTATGTATTACATGGGTTGTGTGAAGATTACCTCACTTGCGACATTGCTTTCAATGCGGTTATGCCTCTAAATCATGCTTCGACACGTGGGAGATATAGCCGCATCGAGGGCGTTACATGGTGGATCTTTAACTACTAGAGCACATGCCCCTGGCACAATCTTTAAGATTGGTAGTGAAACTTTCATCAATGATCTGCTAGGTTTGGACCTACAGGGATATGATGTGGTAATCGGTTGTGACATGCTCAAAAAGCATAATCCAATCTCCTTGCATTTTGATTCAAGAATAGTCACCATAACAAAGGATAAAGTGAGACCAGTTACATTCACAGATTTCACACTGTCAGATACTCCTAAATTAATTTCAGTAGAGAAACTGGACAAGTTATGTGCCGAGGGAGCAGTAGGATTTGCCATGAGCTTAAACTTCATGACAACTATTCCTAGCAATTTAGGAATTTCTTCTCAACCAACCAAAGAGATACAACAAGTGCTGGAGCACTTTGATGCACTATTTGAAGAACCTACTACCCTCCCTCCTCCTAGAGAATGTGATCACTCAATCCCACTCAAGGAAAATTCAACACCTCCCAATGTTAGACCTTATAGAGTTCCTCACCTGCAAAAAATGAGATGGAACAGCAGATCAAGCTCTTAATGTCCAGACACATAATCCAACACAACATGACCCCTTATGCATCTCTTGCCATAATAGTCAGAAAAAGGGGGAACCTGGAGGTTGTGCATTGATTATAGGAAACTAAATGCACAAACAATCAAAAATAAATTCCCTATACCTGTCATTGAGGACCTACTGGATGAACTACATGGAGCAGCAGTTTTCAGTATTGGAGTTGAAATCAGGTTATCATCAAATTAGAATGAAACTAGAGGATGTCCATAAGACAACATTCAGAACTTATTCAGGTCATTATGAGTTTCTGGTTATGCCCTTTGGGCTAACTAATGCACCAGCTACATTTCAGGCCCTCATGAATAAACTCTTTGCCCCATACTTGAGAAAATTTGTCCTGGTATTTTTTGATGATATCTTGATATTCAGCAGAACTCCAGAAGAGCATCAACAACATATCACTTTGGTCTTGGAAATATTAAAGGCAAACAACCTTCTCTTGAACAGATCCAAATGCATTTTTGGCACAACTACTGTGGAATATCTAGGGTACATTTTGTCTGCACAAGGAGTTGCAACAGAACCTGGAAAGATTGAGGCAGTGCAACAATGGAGTATACCAACAAACACTACTGAACTAAGAAGTTTCCTAGGTTTGGCTGGCTATTACAAAAGATTTATCAAGTATTATGGTGTCATATGCAGGCCTTTACATGATCTCCTCAAAAGGGACTCCTTCCTCTGGTCTGACAGTCAAACAGCTGCATTTGACAAATTGAAATTCAGTTTAACTCATGCACCAATCCTAGCACTGCCAGACTTTACTGTTCCATTTGAGCTGGAGTGTGATGCTTCTGGTACTAGCATGGGAGCTGTCCTCAAGCAAAAGCACAGACCTATAGCTTATTACAACAAGTCCTTGGGCCCTAAAGCAGCTGCTCTGCCAACATATGAAAAAGAAGATGTGGCCATTCTGGAATCACTCAGGAAATGGAGACATTACTTCTTGGGCTCTTCTCCGATCATAAAAACTGATCACTAAAGCCCGAAGTATATAACTGAGCAAAGGATATCTGAAGGCATCCAACACAAGTTGATGCTCAAGCTCTTAGAATTTACTTATACCATAGAATACAAAAAGGGAAGGAAAACAAAGGTGTAGATGCACTCTCTAGAAAACCACAAGTCGTGGAGATCTCCATGGTAGTACCAAGTTGTACTGAGAAAATTGAAAGCTCTTACAACACAGATAACAAGTGCAAAAATCTCATAGCACAGTTAACTGTAGGAAGTACTACACTTCCTCTGTATAGTTACACAGCTGGTATACTCAGATATAAAGATAGAATTTATATTGGAACAGATGCAGAGTTTCAACAACAATTAATATAAACATTCCATTCTTCTCCCATTGGGGGCCACTCAGGAGTGGGAGCTACATATCACATGATCAAGAGGCTCTTTTATTGGACAAACATGAAAAAGGATATTGAAAAATTCATCCAAGAATGCCCTATTTTTCAGAGAGTCAAAGGTGAACACTGCCACTATCCATGTTTACTTGATCCCCTCCCTATGCCAGACATGGCATGGAGACATATTTCCATGGATTTTGTGGAAGGTCTTCCTAAATCTTAGGGCAAGAATGTAATCTTGGTAGTTGTGGATAGATTCACCAAATACTCCCACTTTATTGCTCTGTCACACCCTTTTACTGCCATACTATCATTCAAGTATTCATTGACAACATCTTCAACTTGCATGGGTTGCTAGTGTCAATAGTAACTTACAGAGATACAATATTCACCAGCAACTTTTGGCAGGCGCTGTTTAAATCCTTGGGAGTGAAACTTAACATGAGTACAACTCATCATCCCCAGTCTGATGGCCAAACAGAAAGAGTGAACCAGTGTCTGGAAGCATACCTGAGGAGCATGGCTTTTAATGAACCAAAGAAATGGTATTC